GTCATGACACATGGCCAGGACGTTAAAAGGTGACACGTGGCAAGGCGGCGGTGTCGGCATGAGTGGGGGGTGGGGGGGGGGGGGGGGGGGGGATTTATAGCCTTTCCCATTAATGAAGGTGTAATTGTCTGGAACGACCAGATGAGTTGACAGTCGTTCGAGAGGGCAAGGAATTTTTGCTCAAAGAAGAGGGAAGGCAGGGGGTTGGTGTGAGCTGGGGAGCGGGATAAGTAGTCAGTCTGAGTCAGATGCAAAGTCGTGCGAGGCGTCGGATTGGAAAAGGGAGGAGAGATAGATAGCAACTCGCACAACGAAACCCTCGAAGGTGGACAGGAAAGGCATAAGAGAAAGAGTAGCCAGGAGATGGAAAGGGCAATAGTTAAGGAGATGAAGAAAGCGCTGAGGCAAGTGTTGAGCACAATAACACCAGGCGAAGCCGCGAGGGGAAGGAAGACGCCGCGAATCCTGCCGGGTCCTCCAAAGCTGTGTCGTTCGAAGTCAAGTCTCTCTGTTCTCGACAACGACGAGAGTTTTCCAGTGTCCCCAGCGACTGATTGTGGCGCTGTGCTGCCGGTGTCAAGTTCCAATGTGAGGGGCAAGGCTGGCGCTCACGCGCCCGTTCGCATAGCGATTGATCTCGGTACTTCGTCTTGCTCTGTGGCAGTTTGCCGCAATGGGACTGTCCAGGTCATACCGGACGCTTTGGGCAAGCTCTCAACTCCGTCTGCTGTGGCATTCACGGACAAGAAGCGATTGGTGGGCGTGCAGGCACAAAGTCAACAGCTGCGGACACCGGAAAACTTGCTCTTCGAAGTAAAACGACTGATAGGAAGGGATTACGAGTCGATCACAGAAGAGGAGCGGAGATGGTGGCCGTTTATCGTCGTTAAGGGAAACTCAGGAGAGCCCATGGTGGAGGTTAAGAGTCGATTCTTGTCCCTTTTGCAGAGCAATTGTGGAGATCAGATCAGGGTAGAGCAGCAGAGAAGGATGTGTGGTACGGAGAGCGAGGTGGGCGGTTGGCCTACCCGGGCTGGGGGCACACCCTCGCCAGTTGGACATGAAATGACCTCCTCTATGGGCAGTGATGTAGGGTTGCATGGCGGCGCGGGGTCATCTTCTACCGATGCTGTTTCCACGACGACTTACTTGGCGCCTGAGCAGATATTAGCGATGCTTCTAGCGAAGATGAAGTGTGATGCGGAGGCTTTTCTTCAATGTGAGGACCTGCACGCCGCTGTTATTACGGTTCCAGCTCTCTACTGCGACAGGCAGCGAATGGCCACCAAAGTGGCGGCGGAGATCGCAGGGTTCAGGGATGTGCAACTCGTCAGCGAATCGACGGCAGCGGCTGTGTCCTACGCCCATCACACGGGATTAATGTCTCTGGGCTCCTGCGGTGTTTCTTCCGCAGAAGAACCTCGAAGTGCCAGTAAGATGCTAGTGTTTTCGCTTGGTGGAGGGAACGTTGAAGTCGCCCTCGTTACGATCGCTGGTGGGGTGCTCACCGTGAACTCCACGGTGGGTAATCCAATCCTGGGAGGGATGGACTTCGACCACAAGATGATGGATCTGATACGTCGTCGCGTGCAGAAGCAGTTTCATCGGCCTTCGGCACTGAAGGGCAGGACGTTGTGGGAGCTGAAGACAGCGACTGAAAAAGCCAAGAAGGACCTTACTTTGCTGAAGGATGCGCAGGTCGAGCTTGAGTTCCTTAGCGGCGACGGGAACGTGGTCATCCGCCGTCAGGAATTTGAGAAAGAGTGTAAGGATTTGCTGAAGCAGTGCATGGAATGCGTCACTGACGTCTTACGGAAAACCCACACTTGGATCACCGAGGTTAATGCACTTGTGTTGGTGGGTGGGTCGACACGCATCCCCAAGGTCGTAGACATGTTTCGGAAGCTCTCTGACTTCTCGTTGGAGCTAAAGTCCCATCCTTTTCAAGATGAAGCTGTTGTTCGCGGTGCGGCGCTCTTTGCTGCCGGCTGCAGCGAAAGGGTTGTAGAGATTCATCCGGTGAGGATTGCCTACTATGACTATCGGCGAGGGAAATACATGCCTTGGGGACAGTTAAGCAGGCCTCTGACACTCACTCTCCCACAGGATGGGCAGATGGAGCTGAACCTATATGAGATTAGAAAACGCGGAGAACAACCTATAAGGACTGCGACCATACAGATGGCGGAAATAGGCAAGGGTGAAGTTAGCCATCATGCCCTCTTTCGGTTTACGATCGATCGATGCGGCATTTTGGGCCTTGACGAGGGAGGGACGGCTTCAGTGGCGGCACGACTTTATAAATACGGCCAACCATCTACGGATCAGATTCGCTATTGGAAACAGCTTGCCGTGGAGTTAACCGTGTACGAGAGGAGAATCGGCGAGAAGAGCAGTGAGAGGAACCAATGGACCAAGTACATCTTCGAAGTGGAGAAGCGAGAGTCCTCATGCCCTCCCTGGCTGGGGAGTATCATATATCAATGGAAGTGTGACATCGAGCGATGGCTTGCCGAAGAGGGCGCAGGTATTCAAGGTCGGACACAGCAGCTCACCAACTTCGAGACCATGTTTGCCGACTTCAAAACGGGATGTCGACATGCGTTTGGAGAGTTGTGGGCTAGATCGTTATCGGGGAGGCGGTTCATAGTAGTTGATCGCTGGGAAGCAAGCGATGTCGATGAGTGTCTGCAGAATCTTCGGGCGAACAAAAGTCCACAGCTCTGCGACGTAGTCGTCTCAATGTCATTCAAGGAGCTTTGCAAGGCAAAGAAACCCATCGAAGAAATCGAGGGAATAGAGTTAGCGACACGCGGCTTTTCGTCCGATGACAACGACGCGAGTCCGGATGCCGTAAAGGCGATCGGGATCCCGTACGTGGTGCTCTCGGCAGGCCCCGTCTCGCCATCGGACGATCGCGCTCTTCGCTGCAAGGAGTGGAACAGAATTGTTGGTCAGCAGGTGGCAATAGCTGCGCAAGCCGGTCTTCGGGTTCTACTGCGCCTTGGACAAGATGGTTCTGGAAACCAGCAGAGCAGTGATCGGACGTTTGGATTGGAGGAGGAGGAGAAGCGTGTGTGCGAAGCGCAGCTCAAGGACATTGTCCCTCCCATTGGCCGGGACTGGCGAAACATAGAGATCGTGTATGCGCCTCCCCAGCATGTGTCTTCTCCACAGACTGGCGCGCTTCTGGACATTGACATTGTCAGTATGATTCGGCACATAAGAGGGCTGATGAGGGACTTGGTGAATAGCGAAGCTGCCGACTCAACGCGGGTCCTTGTGGGCGGATGCTCAACAGTGGGGATGTGGGATGACCTCATCAAGTGTGAGGAGATTCAGGGGTTGGTTTTTGAAGGGGGGTTTCAAGACCGTCTCCTCGTCCAAAAACTCTGTGCTCCCACTTGGGAGCGGAGGCGCAAAGTCTTACTTTGCCGCGAGAAAAGTGGACATTCACCCATCCTGGACAAGCGGAAAATAGAGCAACTGCAGAACGTCATCAAGGACCTGATGGCTGGAGATGAGGTTATCACCGTTGTCTTGATTACTGTGAACAGTGTGAAGAACGCGAAAACTGAGAATCCCAGCGGCTTACGCGCGACAGAGACTGATTCCGTGGACTTGGTCTGGAGAGACGGTGCTTACCAACAGGTAGAAAACCTCCGGAGTAAGGTGACGGTCATCTCTCTGTGTAGCGGCTACCATGGAGAGGAGCTTGAACAGGCAATCGAGGACCACCTTTCAAGGTCGAGAGGGAAGCTGAAGCGACCAGATTTTGCCGAAGGGGAGGTGGTGGTTGTGGAGTACAGGCCTAAGCTGGGTGTAATGGAAATACCACCGCCAAGTCTTGCTTTGGCCATGGAGGCTGCTCTCGGCCGAATCAGGAGGCGGATTATGATGAACATCAGCCCCCACGTGGCACAGGCGGTGCGGATAGTGTGTTCGTTGGACGGGCTGGCTACAGATACACACATGCGCAGAGAAATCACAAAGCAACCGAATGTTGATGGCGTAAGCCTGCGACTCGAAGAACCGGGAAACGGGACAGGCGAAGGAGCAGGGAACACTACATCAAGATCCGGGCACAGAAAATACAAGATCTCTGGTAATGGAGGCAGCCACGACAATCGGAGGTGATCTTGTGTCTCTGATGGCTATGGGCACTTTGGTTTGAACGGGACAGCCAGTCCTTGTGCACGTGCTGGACACTGAGCCGCACATGGACATACTGAACACAGTGCAGAAAGAGGTTCTAAGTGCGGCTCATCCTCTGCTCCCGAGAGTCAAGGTAACCTCCGAGGACAATGAGGCGGGAAGAGGTGTGAAGCTGGCTTGCATGCTTGGTGGTGGGTATTAACTCGAGGAGGGAACCAGCGTTGACGACATCATCCGTGGGACCGTCCTTGTATTCCACGATCTGGCTCAGGCCTCGGACAGAATGGCCAGCAAGAACGTAAAGGTGGTGGGTTGTCCACGGTCCTGCAAACAGGAATGCGTTCATCGTGCAGGCAAACGCACCACGGATCAGGCAAGACTCAAGAGAACATTACTTCCTCACAAGCCTAGACCCCTAACCCGACACTGGCAATGACCGCTCAGCGCGTTGGTGTGCCTGTGGCGGCTGTTGAAAATCTTTCCATTTGAGGAGGCCAGTCCGTGTGGCAGTGTGCAAACGTGAACCATGGCTCGGTGAAGACAGCGAAGGGTGTGGAGAGGAGCATCCCGGAGATGGTTGACGATGATAACTGACTAGAGGAGGAGTTCATCCATAGCCTCTGCAGCTCGAGGGCCAGATGGACGTTACAATGTCTGTTGCTAGCGCTGTCTGCTGTCATGTCTCGAACAGGATGATGGGAGCACAAGCAGATGTGCGGGTGTCGATGGGAGGGTCCTCAGACGGTTTATACGGTGTCCCTCAAGGGCTGATTTTTCCCTTTGCGGTGAGGATAGAGAACTGTCGCTGGGGAATTCTACAGAGGCTTCATGTCCGCAAGCACCTGAAAGCACTTGCCAACGTAAGAAGAAAAAGCTTGCCTCAGGAAACCCTGGCTATACTGGCGATTACGGTATAAAGCGACCAGCGGTAGAAAGCGAAGTAGGAAACTGTAAGTGTTTATGAAACTTGTACACTCCAGAGTATATTTCCGCAGTGTCATCTTTTGTGGCCTCCTTTTCAGACAGTGGTAATCTTGTCGACCCATCTAGAATTCTCTCTCTCTCTCTCTCTCTCTCTCTCTCTCTCTCTCTCTCTCTCTCTCTCTCTCTCTCTCTCTCTCTCTCTCTCTTTGAAACCGCTAATAGAGGTGGAGGTTGCAAGACCTGTTCTCGCTTCAGGGCCTCGCCGCACGACTGTGGAAACGAAAAAAGCACAGCAAAAAGTGGCGAGATGCATCTGTTGCTATTCATGGGAACGGATGCATCTTTCCCCTTTCTGTGGGGACATGCACTTGAATGTTTTTTGTTTCGACAGTGGTGTGGCAAGGGCCTCAGTCCACGTTGTAATGACGTGTCAGGACTTCTCCGCCAGTTAATTGCTCCCCTCTAGCGGACGCTAGTTCGTTCTCCCTTTCCCTCCACTCGTCAATTTCCTGCTTTGCCTCGATTACAGCATAGAGCTACGTAGTTCCCTATTACGCTATTCTGCTCACGCTTTGGTGTTAGCGTTTTCTCTCGCTCTCATCAGGCTATTATGCGAGTATTTTGAGTACTCTCTGCCATCCATAAGGCGTATTCACACAGTCACACTACCACACTTCTGAACGTATCTGACCGTAGCTACGGCCAGACCTGGATGTCGCTGGCTGCATTTCCATCCAGAAATACGTAAAACGGTCCTAGTTTGAGTATGCTCATAGTAAATTACTTGGGTCTCACCATTGCCCCATTTCTTGTCGCTTCAATGTGATGTCTCTTGCAGCTGGATGGTCACTGTCAAGTTCTTTAGGATCTTCTAGGGGTCTTTTGGCGTATCCGTGAGCTTTTAGGGGTATTTCACAGATTTATCTCCTTGACAATTATCAGCCGTTCTTCGAACCTTGAGGCTATGAAGCCATAGCCTTAGGGGGCGAAGGAGTGGAGAGGAGTGGTTCGGGACTGAGCAAGAGGAGTGGGATCTTGGATTCATCACTAGAGAGAAACACTTTGAGGATTGCTGCCATTTGCTGGAGGTGTTCCTCTCCTCAGCCCTTACTAGAGAAGCCGTAGCCTTAAAAGGGGCGAGGGCCGGTTGGGGCTGAGTAAGAAGAGCAGGATCCTAGAAGGAGGTGCAAGGGCCGGTTGGGGCTGAAGAGCAGGATCCTAGAAGGAGGATACTCAGCCCTTACTAGAAATCTAGAGGACAGAAGCCGTAGCCTTAAGAGGGGTGAAGGAGGGGCGAGGGCCGGTTGGGGCTGAGGAAGAAGAGGAGGATGCTGTCGAGCCTCACCTTAGACGGAGATGGGAAAGAGAGGGCATTACTTCCTCCTTACAGGAAGCCGTCTGCGCCGGAGAAGGACAGGAGGGCATTAAGTGACGATCGAGACCGCGGGCTTGACCCCCGGAGGACGTTGAGCTCACCATTAGCGGTTCTTGTCCCTCGATCAACTTACCACTATTTGAGTGCCTTTTTTTTTTTTTTTTTTTTTTTTTTTTTGGTTTGAAAACAGACCCACCAGTGCTAGCGATGCTATTTGAGTGCCTTGACATTGGTACCATAGAACTGGAACGAGGAGTAGCTAAAAAAATCGTGGGAGCTGCATCTGCACGGTTGCAATAATCCAGAGGACGGAATTGATTGGCTTCCTCTCATTCTCTTCGGGTCGTACAAGATGTATACGGGGCCCTTTTAGGGCATACTCACACGGCGAACCCAAAGCCGCGAAATATGCGGATTTGGGAAGCGCCGATTTGAGGTTTTGGGCATTGTTCACGTCACACTGCTGTACCTTTTCAGATGGGACAAGGGCGCGGCCATCTGGAGAAACGAGGATTTGGTTTTCGGCTGGTCACACGGCGCCATCCACAAATTGTGCAAGAACTTTTGTGAAGGATTTTTTTGCCAATTTTCGAAGAAAATGCAAAAAACAAAACAGGGAATTTGCGGTCACCTCCAGAGGTGACCGCAAAATCCAATCCCTTGCCCCGCGGTTTCCCAGGTCGCTGACAAATGGGCACTGGAATAGTACATTTGCGAATTTGGTAGATCGGTGTGACCAGCCTTTTCCCCTTTTTTTTGGGATTTTGGGATTATAGGTCCCCGTGTGAGTATGCCCTTAGTTGCGATATACTTTACAATGTTATTTTACACAGATTTACAGGCATCCTTGTTCCCCTTTCGTACACCTGTGTGAACTACCTACTGACTACCGGCTGTGAGCAAGCGACCCATTTTTTATTCTTTTTGATGCGAATCCAGTTGTACTACTGCGTCAAAGGACTTCCACACTCTGTAGAATAAATACAAAAGTTTTGAGAAGAGGGGATTTAAAACTTTTCATGTACGTTTGGGGTGGTTCCCTCGATTTCCTCATAATATTTTTTGCATACCTTTCTTGCATGTGTCATTCTACTTCTATCTTGCCAGGTTCTATGTATCTGCTGCGGTCATGACCGCGAGGCCACATCCGTGCTGCCGTCGAGATTCGAGAACCTGACTGCCGATTTCAACCGCGGGCGGTCGTGCGCGGCCAAGTTTTCTTAATGTTTTTTTCTCCAAGAAAAGACAACGCCTGTGACCCCTAAAAAAGGGGTTGTACCCTAGGCTACCAGAGTGGCCTGGGTCAAAGTCCCACATACATCGTTGAACTAGTTCATCGTTGAACTTGAACTAGTTCAACGCGTGTGACCCCGCGCGACGTTGGAGATTCATCTGGAGCTGCGCATCTAATGGTTGTTTCTTTGGTGACAAAAAAAAAGAAACACTTTTGTTTTTCTTTTGGTTCATCCATAGTGCTGGAAAATCTCTCCACCCTGTCCATCTTTCCCTACTAGATAATTCACTCGGGGAATGGGGTATGGGTTCAACGGTGTTTCCCATGCTGAGCCGGTGAATTTCCCAGAATTTTTTTGTGGGCATTATCATTCTGTCGACCCTTGCACCTCCTTGGAATCCCGCATGAGTCTGTCAGATCCCCTTCGTTCCTGGTGGACAGACAGAGGGGTATGTGTGCGTGAATATTGCGATGTATCTATCCCAATTTGGCACATCCATTCATCCCCTATTGTGATGGATGTAGTCCCACCTCATTGTTTTTGTGAATAGCTGGAAAGAACCAAGTGACGACTTCGGGGTACATACATCTAAGTGGGATGTATAAGCTGCATGTAGCCCGAATTCGTTGCTTGGTTCCTACAGTGTCCTCCTGTCTGATTGTGATGCATGTAGCCCCAGCTCTTTTTTGTCGTTCTTGGAAGCACATGGACGACAAAGCGGCAAACGACAATTCATGTATGTAGCCATGTATGTAGCCATGTATTTAGCCCGAGTTTTTGACTTGGTGATAGCCTCAACGCTGTTCCCAACTTCATAGTGAGGATGACCGCCACCAAATATACGAACGTGATTGCCGAAGGTAGAACTTTACGGACTCTCATCTCGTCTGCCTCAACGCTGTTCCCACGACCTCGTCCACCATTTCCATGGCCCACCACCGTCTCTGTATCCATGTGAGTTCTTGACACTCGTATCCTAAGACACACACACACACTTATCATAATCGATGTGCACAAACACAAACACACACACACACACAGCATAATATATGCACACGTGCACACACACACACAGACACACACAGCATAATAGAGGCACACGTGCAGACACACACACACACACACACACACACACACACACACACGCACACACACACTCTCTGAATTGAAAACTCGCACACACACTGAATCAAACACACAAACACACCCACACACACCCACACACACAGAGCTCTTTATAGACAGCCCAGTCCGTTCAGATGTACTCAGCTGACAGTGGTGGACCCATTCCTATGGAGTCTATGAAACACCCGCTGCCGCGGTCAAGGCGGGCACGACCGCGCCACGGCTGCGAGGCACAGGTCATGATCGCGACAGCTGCGGTCTGCCACGGCCCGCAGTCGCCCGGGGGAGAGGGGGTTGGGGTCGGGGTAGCGGATTGGGGTTCTTGAACCCGGACCCTACCCCCTTGAACAAAAAAATAAATAAAAAGAATCATTTTTTGAACGAAACAAAGTTTAAA